ACAGTAGTAGTGTCTCTGCCTCTCCAACTCTAAGCTGGACTGCCTATATCTGTTATGCAATTTAGAAAAGTCATTCTGGAAGTGTGGCACTGCCACCATCATTTGACTTTGACTTGAGTGATGGCTAGAACCAGGGGAGTCAGGTGATTCCCCAAGAGTTCTTGGAAGCTAATCTAGTCAACAGCTAAAAAAATCAGTTCTAGTGACAGTTGGCCCTAAAAATCGTGATCTGAATTGGCTGGCACTTGGAAACAAAACAGTTGTTGCCATATACAACAGTGTGGGTAGACTTGTGTTTGGTGTTTACAGCTCTGAATATTTAACGGGATGATCGAAATTGTGTTAATATTTGCAATGTTCTGTGCTGAGGTTGTCAATTGAATCCTCCATTGATTTGCAGCTTGTCTTTCTTGTGAACCATGTGGGATTCAGTCCTCTTTATAAGTGTGAAAAAAGAGATATAATTATGTAGAAACCAAGATGAATCTTTAACCTGTTTGATCCCCTAGGACTGTGTTCATTTTTTGGCGGAGATTGGGTTTTTGGTAATCAAATTCCCCTGCAAGTATAAGTTCACACACAGCCCGACACATACTGGCAAATTATGAATTTTCTCTACAGGAGAGAACATTACACACATAACCTTTACTTCAACTCACTTTCATCTGCAGCTCTCACAGCAAACACTTAACTGGGGAAATCTCTCGACTGAAAAATTGACTTTGACAGCACAGAGGCCAGAGCATGGTAGGGAGGCGTAGAGGGAGGGGAGCCAAAAGTTCAGAGCCGAGGCGAGAAACTCGAGAGGGACCAAAACTTCATACACGGGCAAAGTTGTTAATGAGGAGAGAGATAACGTGCCTTACATCAAAAGTAGCCAAATGTCAGTTCTGGAGGGAAGAACTTTTGGTGTTACCTTTTTTTCTTCTAACAAGTTGCATGCATGAACTGTCATATGGAGGTGTAGCTAATTGCACAAATGTTCTTCTCCAGGGTGACAGTAATCTCAATACATCAATCACAATCAATACACCTGCTGTTGGAAGAGCTGGTGTTTCTAGGGCTGCTTATGGCCCTGTAATCTCGACTTTGAGGCTGTCTAAAGAGTTAAAGGGTATAAACCCTTGACGCCCAACCTGTTACCCAAGTGGTGCATGTAGCCTTAAGGGACTTATTGCATGGCCCTCGGACCCCAATAGTGGTAGTTAGTGTTTTCTCTGCCAAGGTGCTTCTTACTCATTAGACTGGTTTCTTCTAGTCTAATGCTTTACCTACTTTACCTACTGTCTTACTTACTGTCCTTTCCCTTCTATTGTTGAGATGAATATCAAATTATATTGTCAGTTATTTTAATTGAGCTGTAGGGGCACAATATGGGAGAACTGATTGATTAAGAGGCTGTCATGGATGTAATCTCTGGTAGTCCCATGTAACATGTCTCCAGTCTCTGACTCTTTCCTGCAACATGACCTTTGAAACAGTGCATCTATGTAGCATGTCTTCAATCTCTGACCTTTACCTGTACGACGTCTGCAGTCTCTGACCATACCCCATACTATGTCTGCAGTCTCTGATCATCTCCTGTAGCATGTCTGCAGTCTCTGACCCTCACCTTTAGTATGTCCGCAGTCTGTTATAATCACCTGTCTCCAGTCCCTAACCATCTTCTGTAACATATCTGCAGTCTCTGACCATCTTCTGTAATGTGTTTTCAGTCTCTAATAATCTCCTGTGGCATGCCTATAGTCTCTAACCATTTCCTGTATGATATCTGGAGCCTCTGATCAACTTCTGTAAAGTGTTTGCAGTCTCTGGCCATCTCCTGTAGCATGCCTGCAGTCTCTGACCATTTCCCGCAGCAGTTGCACACTCGTTGACAGTTTTCTATAACATTATGTACACTGAATATTTTGTGCGGTCCTTTGGTGAGGTGATGATGGCAGGGTGGCACTTGAGGCCCCTACAAGAGGTAAATGCACCACAACTGCTTTACAAGCCGAATAAGAAGAAACCAACCTTTAAACGTCTCAGACTTGAGTTTATATGCTAGATTTCCATGTCCCGTTAGCCTCTATTTGGGATACAGAAAGACGGCTCTGTGTGGTGCCGGGACTCACTCAGTAAACAATCAAATGCACTACAACAAGCCCGGCCTCTTGTACGTCAACTGGAGACCAGAGGTGGATGTGAGGGACGGGATGCAGAGATGTAAACATAGACCAGGATGGGTACAAACATGAGATCACTGGCAAGGTGGCTGTGGGTACATCAATTGCGGCATTAACTAATTTATTAATATTATATCAGCAAAATTAAGTTTTTTTCGTTCATTGTCATCTTCCAAAACCGTCATAGTTGTTTTGGTAGAAGTTAATTATTAGGCATAGTCTCGCTGGCTATAGTGGAGAGTACCAGTCTTTGGCTTATGCTCCCTATTTAAGAGGATACATGTGGATGGTTGCTTCTTTATTCAATGGAGCTTCTGGTTAGCATACATATTGTGCCAACTTTGTCTTATTACAGAACATCGACAGCTATAAAGCTAGCATGACTGCAATTGTGATGGCTGAAAAGGCCCGTGTACCACTGTTGTAGAGAAGCTTCTACTGGCAGACTTCCATCCTACGCTGATGACAAATCTTAAAGTTCAGTGAGACATCTGGAGGGGACAGATTCAGCTGGGAAGTGTATAAACCGAGAAGCATTTAATAAAAGAAAATCCTTTTAGAGGAGGCCAGAGAGAAACAGCTCAGAATAAGTCAGTGTTGAAGTCGATTATACAGTATACACTCAGATGTTGCAAAAAATGAATATAACTAATAGCCAATAGCTAAGAAGTTAATGGAGTTCCAACTGGTTGGTCTTGACAGGAACAGAGACTATAAATAATACTTAATACTTGCAGGGTTATCCACAAAAGGGTGAAGGGTTTGGAGAAGGCAGGAGCGGTGAACAATCTAGGCCAAAATAGCTGATTTGGAAAAATTCTCCAATTCAGCTCATTTTCCAGTTCAGCTATGTTGTCCTAGATTGTTCACTCCTCCTGCCTTTTCCAAACTCTTGATCCTTTTGTGAATAACCCTGTAAGTATTCTGAGGATGCATAATCAAGTCTTCTCCATGTTGACAGAGATCTGATGGATTTAACATATTTAAATTAATGTTTAAATCAAGGGGTCTAAAAAGGAAAATTGTTTTCAAAGTGGTAATATAAAATGTTGTCAAATTGGGAGTGGAAGCTAACATGTGAAAATGTTTTGATCATTAACCTGTTTCCTTCTCAGTATATTTTACTTTTAATGTCCATTTGGTATATGATTCAATATTTTGTACATTTTATACTCTTTGTATGAAAATAAAAAAAGTTTATTCAAAAAAAAAAAAAAGTGGTAATGGAACAGCTCTGTATACCTTTTTTCAGAATTTTTCTTGATTTTTTTAAATACTTATCATTGCTGGTTCAGCAAAAGGGCTAAATGAATTGCAGCCTTTGAGCTTCTGTATTTGAATGAGGTCATAAGGCTTGACTCTAATCTACCTAAAACAGTGTGTGTGTGTGTGTATATATATATTTATTGTGAGATTTAGCTTCCAATGGTAGCTCATTAAGGACGCATCCACTCGCGTATGACTTCTTTTAAGGGCTTCCTTGCCCACTTTTATTGAATCCAACTCAAAAGTCCACACAGGTTTACCCTCGCAGGGGTTTCAAACACAAAGTACAGTTTTCTTTCTTCAGCAAAATAGCACTTTCAAAGTCCCCCGACTTTAGGTTGTGTGTTTACCAAACACTCTTCACCACACAGGTAACACACTCCTCCGTCCGCCAGCCACAGACTGGTCCCAGGGTGGAGCCCTCCTGACTCCTCCTGAGACCTCCTCTGTCCCCAGGTAGAGCCTTGAACCTGACCCAGCATCCTCCTCATAAGCGCTGTGCACAGGTGCACCATCATTTGGTGCTGGTCACCACTAAAGCCCGGGCCCAGGAATGGAGATTTCTTCCCTCCCAGTTCACTTAGAAATCTCCCGGCTCCAGGATTCCAACTACAATCCAGAAAACCCTCTGGCTGAGAGTCCTGGGTGACCCTTTTTCCACTCTACACACACACTGCCACTATATATATACTTGTTGCACCACAAAAAAAGTATTAAAGTATTATAAATAAAAATGTGTTCCATAATTTATGAATTAATTATATATACAGTGTATATAATATAATAGTTTAATTCATAAATTATGGAACACATTTTTATTTATAATACTTTTTTTGTGGTGCAACAAGTACTCTCGTGGCTATGAGGTATATGACATTGCAACAGATTTGGAATTTCAATTTGGGATTGTCAAATTCTTTCTGTATTCTAAACTAGATGTTGCGTTAACCAGTCATAGTTGGTTTGAAGCATGTGTTATCCTATGCTGCCATCTAGTGGCCTTTTGTTGTAATGTACATGTTTTTCTGTAATTATTCCTCATGTGACGATGTATTTCCCCCTAGTGTACGCCCCTTCCTTCTTCCTGTGTGCAGTACTTCCTGTGTCATGGCCACAGTTGTAAGCCACATGTAACAAGGACACACAGGTAATCTGCACAGTACGGAGGAAAGGCATCATTTTCTGACCGCACAATACTATAACCGTTCAACTGCTGTTCCTATCATCTGCTGTAACCCTGATGCTAAAGATTAAACACCTCTTTTGAATGAATCGGTATTGACGAGTTCAGCTATCTGACGAGGATTGTCCGCAGTGAGTATATCTGCTTATACAGGCCAGGCATAGAGGTCTCAGCAAGGGATATATTTCGCTATCACAACGATCGGAGTCAGAATAGTGGGCACAAGCTTTCTTTACATCTTAATTTCAAAAGGCCATAACATGGGGCACAACATTTTCTGAATTTTTGTTAATTGCTAGGAAGGGGACCTAATGACTGCATGCCCACTGTTGAATAAAAAAGGAATACAGTATAATACAACATTTCCTATTTTTGTCTTGCAGTGCCAATAACTCTCATCACACATCCTTCTCTGTGCTGCCATGGCAAAACTAGACTCAAGGCCTGTCCTGTGTGACACGACCTACCAGAGCCAAGAGTCCTTCCACTCCTTCACCAGCAGATCTTCCGACTCTCCTTCCCAGTGCACTATGGGTATTGTAGGCAGTGGAGTGGCCAATGATCAAGAATTTGCTATGAAGAGTGTTGGAACTAGAACCCAGAACAGTCTCAAGCAAAACGACAGCTCCAGGAACGGCTACTCCAACCGATACTCGGGGGAGGAAAAGTGTTACAAGACAGAGAAAAACTCAATGTACATCAATGTAGAACAGCGCAAGAGTGAGAAGGTGAGAACACATAATGGAAAATTATGTGCCGAGGCACTGGCCATCAGACTTTAGCTTAAAGGAGAACTATGAGGTGGGTGATTTTCACTCAACCTCATAGTTCGAGCCGACCTGTGACAATGAGACTGTCACAGGTCGGCTCTATAGATCGGAAAGTGAGCGAACGCATACCATCGCTCACTCACTTTCCTGTCATCTTCCTGCAGAGAGCGGTGACTGGCAGTCACCGCTCCCTGCAGGGATTCCCCCCTCCCCGCTCTGATCCTCCAACGCTGAGTGGAGGAACGGACAGGGAAGAAGCGGGCACAGCTGCCTCTGCCTCTAGATAGGCAGAGCCCGCTGTCACTCACGCAGCTGGGTGGATCTCGACAGGATTGTCTGGATCCGTTCCGGCTGCAATGATCTTGGTATATAGTGAGCAATAGCTTGCTATATGCTGAGCTTTGTATCTCGGGAGGAGGTAAGTATATGTCCTCCTGTGACCGTTAAGAGAACTATGGGATAAAAAGGTTACCCCATAGTTCTCTTTTAAGGAACTTTAGAAAAATTACATTCAGGCAGTATTGGCCAGTCAGCAGCTTTGGATGGGAATTGATCCTCTCCCATAGCTGCTTGCACATGATTGGCTGATGGAAGTCAGCAGAGCTTCACCTCATTCACTAAGCTAAGTGGAAATCCCTACAAATTTCCCCTCTACAAATAGTAGTAATGAAAACATAACTAGAGGCTGAAGAAGGATGCAGACACATGTGTTCCTTGGGAAATGGGAAAACATGTTGTTTAATGTCATTTGATGATTGCCTAGTTCTTATTTTAAAGTTTTATTAGGCTAGAGGTCTTCTTGAAGTTCACCAGTGGCTATGGACATTTAAGTATTTACGTATTCTTTGCAAGCAGTAAATGAATAATACAAGCCCTCACTGACCTCTGTAGTTGCAGGCACCAAGGAGCAATTAATCCTCAAAGTTCATGACAAAAGCACTCTGGTCAGAGTCTCATTTTTCATTCCCAACAGTAACTTGAGAGTCTTCTACCCGTCTCATGTAAAACCATTAAACCTGATCCGTGTTCACGTTACTTTGACTTCCCACACACACATTTTGAATGGCACCCCAATGTTAGGAAACACAGCTGCCTTTCAACACGCCATAACTCATTGCAACACATTACTGTGTTTTGTGTGTGTCAATGCACAGCACAGGCTTAATTTTGGCCTAAAAGCCTGTTTACAGCTTGTTAGGAAAATGTGCCTACTAGAATATCCTGATTCATTAAAGGAGAACTATGAGGTGAGTGCTTTTCTTTCACCTCATAGTTCTAGCCGACCTGTGACAATGAGACTGTCACAGGTCGGCTCAGTAGATCGAGAAGTGAGCGAGCACATACTGGCGTTCGCTCACCTCTCGATCCTGTCACAGCTCTCTGCCGTGACAGGGGAGGGGCTGGATTCCCCCCTCTCCGCTCCGATTCGCCAGCGCTGAGTGGCGGATCGGACGGGGGAGGGGGCTGGTACAGCTGGCTCTACCTCTAGATAGGCAGAGCCAGCTGTCACTCACGCAACTGGGTGGATCCAGACATAATTGTCGGGATTGGCTGCTGCGTCTCAGTATACCGCGAGCTACTCGCGGTATACTCGCGGTATACTGAGCTTAGGGTGACGGGAGGACGCTAGTTTGTGTCCTCCCGTTACCCTAAGGAGAACTATGGGGAAAACCCCATAGTTCTCCTTTAATACTTTCTCTAAATTTGTGCTTTCTATTTTTACAGAATAATGAGCTTTTGGTTCGACCATCTGCCTTCAAACCAGTGGTTCCTAAGAATTTCCATTCCATGCAAAACCTTTGCCCACCTTTGAATAACAGCATCACTGAGAATCGAAAAAGTTCTGGTCATGGAAACAGCAACAGTCCAGCAGTCCTGAAGAGCAGTTTAGAGAAGGCCAGTCACAACAGGTCTTCAAATCAGGTGGGAGGTCTGTCAGACTCTGGTCGCAATTCACTGACCAGTTTACCCACGTATGGGACTGGTTACAGTCAGCACGTTGGCCCAATGAGTGCGTCGACAAGCCATATAAACCGCATTGGGACCACCTATTTAGAGAAGAATATAGTAGGATATAATGGAATATCTACCTCAGATAGTGGACGATCTTCCAGTAAGAGCGCCTCTTCTTTCAGCCGGCTCAACCATCTCAATGAGTCCTTGCCTTTCCACTCCCCCTCCAGTGATGACATAATACAAGACTTGGAGGACCGTCTGTGGGAAAAGGAGCAAGAGGTGATACATATGAAAAGGAACTTAGACAAAAGTGAGGCTGCCATTTTTCAAGTCTTCGAGGAGAAGCAAAAGATCTGGGAGAGGGAAATGGAGGACCTGAGACAAAACTATGCCAACAAACTTCAACAAGTGTCTAAGAAAGCACAGAGGGCCCAGCAGGCGTTGCAACTGCAAATCTTCAAGCTCCAGCAGGAGAAGAAGAAGCTTCAGGATGATGTTGCACAGCTACTTCAAGAACGGGAGGAACTGGAGAAAAAGTGTATGGCCTTTAAGAAAGAGCAGTCAGAGTTTCTTCCAACGATTGAGGAAACCAAGTGGGAGGTAGGGTGCAATTGACTTGTTTTTTTTGAGAATATTAGTTTTTAAGTCCATCAAATGTACTTAGCTTCTACATATACATCATAGATGGAAGGAAGGATTTAGCTCTAGCTTACATGCAATCAAGCTCAATTCATGTGAGGGCTGTAGAGTTGTTTTGCAACTGCTTTGGCTGTCACATCTTGCTCTCTCTAAAGGTAACAATATTTAGCTATCAGGATAACATGAAAACAGCATTAAAAGGTATGTATAGCCAGAAAGTTTTTTTAAATTTGAAATGAGTGGTGAGAGGTGAGTCTTCGAGACAAGAAGTTAAGGGAAATCTCCCCAAAAGGACACAGACAGCAAAACATTAACTGACATGGCTTTAACCATTTCCTACTCCATCTAACACAAAAAAAGACATTTTTGGCTATTCATTAGGGATGCCCCTAAACCATTTTTTTGGTATTGAATACTAGTACCAATATTTTTTTTCGGTACTCGCTGATACGGAATACCGGTACCGGAAGTCCCATTAAGGAAGCCAGGCGGCATGTAATGACTGGCCCCTCGGCTTCCCGATTAGCAGGGAAACTGTCTCCATGCTCCCTCATCACCAGGTGACGAGAAAGCCTGGAACCGTCTTTCTGGCCAATCAGGAAGTCGGGTGCCGTGTAATGACTCGCTGTCCGGCTCCCTGGTTGGCCAGCTTCCCAACCAATCAGGAAGCTAGGCAGTGAGTCATTACACGCTGCCCGGCTTCCTGATTGGCCAGTAAACCGGCTCCATGCTCCCTCGTCACAAGGGATGAAGTGATGAGGGAGCATGGAGCCGGCTTCCTGGCCAACCAGGAAGCCGGGCAGCATGTAATGACTGGCTGCTCAGCTTCCTGATACCGGAAGCTCAAGTATCAGGCGAGTCATCTGAGCATTTGGGCGAGTATGAGTACTCGCCCAAATACTCGGCATCACCACTGATACTAGTATCGGTATCTGTGCATCCCTACTATTCATTCACTTTAATGGCAATGTAAAGTTTTTGTTTACATGCTTTATTATGCCAGTATTAAAGCCTATCACTGGGTAAAAAAAACTACACTTGCAGTGGGGCTACTCCACTTTTACTTACCTGATTTCCACTCGCCAATGGCCGGTGCTCACCTTTTCCCCCTTCTTCCCTGGCTTGTGGACTGTCCCTCAGGGTGCGCATGTATAATGCAAGGCTATGGTCCCTGCATTCTATGTAATGACATCATCAGGCCTCCAATTCACAAGAGGGAAGAGTGGTTGCAGGCATCTTGGAGCCAGCAGGAACGGGAATCAGGTAGGTAAAAGTCCTTTACTCCTTTAGTCATAAACGAGTAGTTAACCCCTGCAGTGCAGGTGTAGCCCCACGGCAAGGGGGGTGTTTTTTACCTGCTGATAGGCTTTAAATCTGTGAAATTTCAGACAATCTAGGCGATCTTTGAGTAGAATGGCTGCTCTCTGTAGGCTCATAATATTGCTGATATTGTGAAATATAGTTGAATAACTTGATCCAGATTAATCTAGGAGATTTAGGGGGTCTTAATATATTTTTAATGTATATGTCTTACAGTTGAACTCTGGGTATAAGAAAACTGACACATGTATAGCGGCTCCTCCTGGGAGGAGATATTCAAATATTAAAATCCCTTGATGGGTGGGTGTCATTCCACAGGAGTGGGTATTCCTAGGCAGACCATATGTGCATGCAGGCCACCCTAGGTAATGCCCACATGTGATGCTGAGCCTCAATGATTACAACTAAAATCCAATAATTGAAAGGGGTGGGTGGGGATAGTCAGGCTGGGGAGGAAAGGTTTAGATCAGGAGTAGGTAAATACAAATTCCATCATGCATCTGCCTCTGGGAGTCATGCCTGTGGCTGTCAGAATATTCCCATGCCTCATGGAATTTGTAGTTGTACCACATCTGGACGGCCAGAGTTTGCCTATCCTTGGACTAGCTGATGCTGGATGTCCTCCAGCCAGGAAATGAGGCAGGCTTTATCTGACTTGCTGCAGCTTCTAAAGCACATTGCGAGAAGCTCACAGTGTGCAGTGAAATCAGAGTAAGCAATTTCAATACAGGAGAGGAGTCAGTACAACTGTGCAAGACTGAAGGGCCGGAGTTCACTCTAAATATGTGACCCGTTATTCTTACTTTCCTTTTTTTGCCTCTTTGATATATATATGTTTTGTACAGTGAAACTGTAATATATAATAGATGTAAGCAAACTCACACAGGAAGTAATGCTAAAGTATGCACTAGAGATACTGAGGCTGAGAGCGTCTGCACCACCATATCTGTCGGAATTTTGGAACTGGGCCGAAAAAATTCCAGATAAAGTAGAGCTGCTTCCAGCAGAGCTGATAACAGACTCACAGCGTGACACCCTTTCATTTCTGCTTTGGCAGATTTGATATGCTTAAAGGCAAAGTGTAATGGTTTTCATTAATTTTTCATTTTGTTTTTAGGTTGGCAGGTTTATATATTGTGATATTATATGTATTGTTTTAGCCTGGCTTCACTCCTATGCTTTGAGGCAATGTGCATTAAATCGAATGTCAACACAAAGCACCATAAAGCTGGACATAGCGGTAGAATATTGCTTGAGAAATTTCATTTCACATGTTCGATTTTCAATTAGTTAATGGGGTTAAATCGACTATTATTTCCGACCGCGGTGATGAAAAAATTGAAGGAGCAGGATGAAAAACAAACAAACCAAATTGTAACATTCAATGTGGTTTTCATTTCAGAAATTCCATTCATTCCAAAATCGAAAAATTTTGAAATCAAACAACATTTTTCTGACATTTGTCAAGTCTCTGATGGCATTATACAATGGAAATCCAAAAGGGAAATCTATCAGTGTATGGCCAGCTTAAGGTATTTGACTTTATGCAGTGCGTTGAGGTGACATTCATTTAGAATAGTGTCCCAATGCACAAGCACAGTAGCTGACAACAAACCTACACTGTAGCGTAGGGATGCACCGATACCCGTATTTCGGTATTGAGTACGAGTACCGATATTTTTTTCCCCGGTACCGATACCGGAAGTCCCATTAAGGAAGCCAGGCGGCGTGTATTGACTTGCCACCTGGCTTCCAGATTAGCAAGGAAGCCGCCCCCATGCTTCTCCTGATGAGTGATGAGGGAGCATGGAGCCAGCTTTCTGTCCAATCAGAAGGCCGGGCGCCGTCTAATGACGCGGCTAGGCTAGGCATTGGAGCATTTGGGCGAGTAAGAGTACTCGCCCAAATACTTGGCATTGGCACAGATACCGATACTAGTATCAGTCTCGGTGCATCCCTACTGTAGTGCACCACAACACACACGTAGTGTGTTGTGATGCATTGGCATTAGTTCATAATGCACAGGCTGCTTTAATGCAACACATGTTATTGTACGACACAACGCACCTTAACGTGTGTGCAGTAACACATCACAACGGAACATAAAAGTGTAAAGGAGCCCCTTGTTATTTCTATTAACATTTTATTTTACAATTGAATATTATGCATCCATGACAGTTTGCCAAAGCATGATGGACTCTCCGATAAGACCGCCCAACAATGTCCACATGCTTAGAAGGCCTCTTCCAAGAGTTGAGCTGAACTCCTCCTTGGAAGACCTCCTTAGAGTTGAGCTGGACTCCTCCTTGGAAGACCTCCTTAGAGTGGAGCTGAACTCCTCCTTGGAAGACCTCCCTAGAGTTGAGCTGAACTTCTCCTTGGAAGACCTCCCTAGAGATGAGCTGAACTCCTCCTTGGAAGACCTCCTTAGAGTTGAGCTGAACTCCTTTTTGGAAGACCTCCCTAGAGTTGAGCTGAACTCCTCCTTGGAAGACCTCCTTAGAGTTGAGCTGGACTCCTCCTTGGAAGACCTCCTTAGAGTGGAGCTGAACTCCTCCTTGGAAGACCTCCCTAGAGTTGAGCTGAACTTCTCCTTGGAAGACCTCCCTAGAGATGAGCTGAACTCCTCCTTGGAAGACCTCCTTAGAGTTGAGCTGAACTCCTTTTTGGAAGACCTCCCTAGAGTTGAGCTGAACTCCTCCTTGGAAGACCTCCTTAGAGTTGAGCTGAACTCCTTTTTGGAAGACCTCCCTAGAGTTGAGCTGAACTCCTCCTTGGAAGACCTCCTTAGAGTTGAGCTGGACTCCTCCTTGGAAGACCTCCTTAGAGTGGAGCTGAACTCCTCCTTGGAAGACGTCCCTAGAGTAGAGCTAAACTCCTCCTCGTAAGATCTCCTTAGAGTTGAGCTGAACTCTTCCTTGGAAGACCTCTTTAGCGTGGAGCTGAACTCCTCCTTGGAAGGAGCTGAACTTGAAAGTGAAGGTTTGATATATGATTTGTATAGAGGACATCTAGAAATATTTATTGTGCATAAGCATTACCTGGAAAAATTGACCTTTTCTGTGGAATTCCTTTTCAAAATTAGTATGATGAGTATTTTAGTGTGCCCAAGTATTCCTCCATCCCTATAGCTGTATATCTGCAGTATGAGATATAAGGCTCTGCTGCCTTTCACTTCTAGTCTTAGGAGATTTACAGTAAGATTTGGTGATGTCATTACTGTGCTTCTCACTGTTCTCCTTGCTGGAGGCTCTAGGATGAGGAAGCAAAGCCCTTCCTCTAACAAGATGGCCAATTCCACACTGAGACACAGTGCGAACAAGCCATGGTAAGTCATGCCATGGTACTGGTGGCTAGTCCTATGGGGGACAACTGTTTTTTTACAACTGTATTTTACAACTGTTCAAATATCAAAATACCCTGTGGCCTGCCTATTCTTGGTCACGGCTTCCAGAGTTCAGTTCCTCCTTAACTAAACTACATATGTCCACCTGGAGAAGGCAAATAGTGTGTTCTTCCAAAGAAGGCCATTCCTGTGTTTTTCCCGTGCCTACAACCTCATAGCTTTATATCTGCAGTATGAGATATAAGGCTCTGCTGCCTCTGACTTCTAGTCTCAGGAGATTTATAGTGAGATTTGGTGATATAATTACTATGTTGCTCACTGTTCTCATTGCTGGATCCTTTGGCATGAGGAAGCAAAGCCCTTCCTCTGCCAAAATGGCCATCTCCACAAAGAGACACATTGCAATCAAGCTATGGTTAGTCAGTTATGGAGGAAAGATCAGCTGCAGGAAGACCACAAGAAATACTGGTGACTTGTTCTTTGTCCTGTGGCCTGCCTATTCTTGGCCACCGCTTCCAGAATTCAGTTCCTCTTTAATTAAGCCAGATAGGTCCACATGGACAAGCAAAAGAGTGTGTCCTTCCTAAAGGAGAACTATGGGGTCAGAGCTTTTCCCCATAGTTCTCCTTAGGGTAACGGGAGGACACAAACTAGTGTCCTCCCGTTACCCTAAGCTCAGTATATCGCGAGCTACAGCTCGCAGTATACTGAGACGCCGCAGCGGATCCCGACATCAATGTCGAGATCCGCCCAGCTGCGTGAGTGACAGCTGGCTCTGCCTATCTAGAGGCAGAGCCAGCTGTGCCCGCCCCCTCCCCCGTCCGTTCTGCCAGTCAGCGCTGGCGGATCGGAGCGGGGAGGGGGGAATCCAGCCCCTCCCCTGTCACGGCAGAGAGCCGTGACAGGATCGAGAGGTGAGCGAACGCCGGTATATGTTTGCTCACCTCCCGATCTACTGAGCCGACCTGTGACAGTCTCATTGTCACAGGTCGGCTAGAACTATGAGGTGAGTGAAAAGCACTCACCTCATAGTTCTCCTTTAAGTAGGCCATTCTGCAGTGTGTGTAATCTAATCTCCCTAGTATTTTAGGTTTATTCAAAAACAGCATCTGGTTTATAAACCTAAAATGCTACTGCTGCTTTTGCTTGAAGTAACCACCTGCTGGCTGCAGGTTTTTATATATAATATTCATGCAATGTTTCATATTTGACCTCATTAAAAATACATTTGAAAAGTCCTGAACATACTGATAAAACACAAATATTATACAGGAATCAATCTGTATAAGCCTTTTTTCCTTAAGGGTAAACTCCAAGAAAACAGCTATATAAACAATTAAAATGTTCCCTGTCAGCACATCTGATTGGCTGCTAGTGCTGCCCCTCCCTGTCCCAATCCGAGTGCTTCTGTGCTGGAGCTGACCAGAGGCTGATAAAAAGACAGATTCGGGTGCATATGCTAGTTGCAAACAAAATACATTTAAAGGGTGTGTTAAGGCAAAATACATTTAAAGGGTTAAGGCAAAATTTTAAAAAATAATAAAAAAGATATATATTCTAAGATAAAGTAAACTTTGTGCACATGCATGGGAGTTACATCATTGGGACCTGGCCAGTCAAGTGCCCGGAGAGTGGAAACCCAGGAGAAGACCAGGGGAAGATGGAAGCGCCAGCGAAGGAGGAGCGCAGCGCTGGAGATGATCGATTTGGCAGAGAAGTCTGTCATAATGTGCTGATATGTTGAGCACATTATGGCTAAAAGCTCCAGGTGGGCTTTTTTTTGGTGTTTTAATGTGGCAAGTGGTCCCGCTTACTAATAGGAAGCCTTTGCAAGGAACAGAGGGGGGACAAACTAGAGTTTTACAGAAAATGTCATCATTTCACTGTCTATACCTCAGGATCTACTGATTATTCAGACATACAATTTTTGCTGATGATCACTTCAACTCATGCATTTTTTTCATGATATCCTCTGAACTGGCCTAGTTCGTAACAGTTTACTTTAAAGCAAACTTGTTACTGTAGTATTTATCCAGTCAGTAAATAAATACCTTTCCTGCTGCCTGTGCCAATGAACACCACCCAGATCCTGAGGAGTCTTCTGCTGAAGTCTGCAGGAAATTCAACCCTTCTGGGAGTGTCAGTCTCCTGGGTACCCCCCAACCCCAGCTCTGACTGGTTTCTCCTGCTGACCCCAATGCCACTACTGTATTCTGTAACGAGTATAAGCTTCTTTTACAGCTATGGCTCTGCCTACGTTTTATACTGTAGCGACAGGATTGCCATATAGCAGGTCCCGACTTCTGCTTGAGACACCAGAGCTTGGCATTGTCCCAAGAATCACAGTAATATACCCAAGAATAGATCAGGCTGAAGCTGAATACAAAGTGTTGCTTCCAGTATCTTGACATCACACGTTGCTATATTGAGGCTGTGATGTTCAGTTGAGGTGTTCAACTTTGGACTGCAGATTAGGTTTTCAAGTTCTGTCTATACAACTTGTCCTACTCACAACTTATAGAATATGACCTTTCTGTCTATTATAAAAAACTATTTTCTGAAAATATTTCACATTACTGATTTGTGTTTCTCTTTGTAGGTTTGTCAAAAAGCTGGTGAGATATCACTGCTAAAGCAACAGTTGAAAGATTCCCAGTCTGATGTATCTCAGAAACTTAATGAGATAGTAGGTCTAAGAACACAAATAAAAGAAGCCAAGGTATTTCTGAGAGATAAGGAGGAGCAGATTGTCTCCATTAAGGACTCATATAGCTCAAAAAGCGTCAGTCTGGAGATCTGTGAGAACGAGATGCAGAGGAAGCAAAGTGAGGCTCAACAAATGAAAGAGAAGCTTAGCCAATGCGAGCAAGAGATTTCGGACCTAAAGGAGACCCTATCAAACGTAGGTAATAACCCATACGCCCTAGAACTCAATGAAAAAATGAGAGACACTCTTTGCGAGAGTGATGAGGCCAAGATGAAACGACAGAGCGAGGACACAGTAGTGACCCTAAAGAAAGACATAGAAAAACTCCAGTTAGAATTAGCCCTAGAGAAACAACAAAGGGATCAGCTGGTTTTGGACTTTGAGGAGGAAAGACGTACTTGGCAAGAAGAGAAGGAGAAGGTGATAAAATACCAGAAACAGCTACAGCTCAATTACGTTGAGATGTATCAGAAAAACCAACAACTGGAGCAAAGGATCAGTGAGGTAAATACAAAGGTCACAACACCTCCAGCCGAGGACAAGAAACCTTGGACACCATCCAGGTTGGAGAGAATAGAGTCCACCGAAATATGAGGACGAATGACCAAGTGTACACAGCTAGTTTTTCACTGTGCATGTGCTACCTAACCAGCTCATGGTCATCAGGAGAAGACCTTACTGAGTTCTGAAGGGACCATAGACTCTAGAACCTGGTAGGCCCTTCAGTACAGAGAAGGTGTCTAATCAGAAAAGTGCTTGCTGTAATTTAAGTGCAGATGAAACATTTATGGTATACAGTATGTTATGCCGCCAATGATGCTATATGTCTGTTTCCCCTTTACCTTCCCTGCACCTCCCTCTGTCTGCAAGACCACTATCTTTTTAACAAATTGATGGGTCTGTTTTAGACTAAGCAGAGGTGCAGGTCTGTGACTGTTACTGGTTCTTAATCCTTTTTGGACTCATGGAAAGAAAGGTCAAAATGACTTGGACTTTGAGTTATTTTAGCCATATTGGCTAGTATTGGAAGTTCTGCTGTGCGGTGAAATCTAGCGATCTACCTATGATACACGTTACACAGCTCTAGTCACTGTTTACTGTGAATTATCCAAAAATCTTAGAGGGATAGTAGTAACTGTATTTTATATTAAATCATAGAGTTCCAACAACAGAGGATAACAATATTTTTGCCAGCACGCCATGCTGTTTACATCCATCTTCTGACTCCGAGGTAAAGCTCATGATTATGTTAATGATGCAAGATGATTCAATGAATACAGAAGATATATTCAATCTTCTAACTCTCTCCATTGGTTCTGTATCTAAGGGGGAAAGGTTTTTCCAAACGAGGTGGCAACATTTAAAAAAAGTAGGTTTAGACAGGTTTGTGTGGTGGTGGGTTTTTTTTTATGAAGAGGTAGGATGGGGGTAGGTAGAGGCTGAGGTGATGTATAGGATTGGAGCT